GGCTACGTTTACACCGTGCATTTAGGCTGCGGCTTATACAATAGACGTCCTTGTTTATCCTGTAGGTTAAACAAAGACACCTATCGTATAAGTCGCGGACTAAGCGCACGGTAGTAAACGTAGCTAATCAATGATACAATGAACAGAGTCTTATTATCATCTTAAGAAATGTCTTAAGATGATTCAGAGAGAACAAGAAAGTTAAAATAATGTCAATTCAACGTCATATTGACCGAATTATATCATTTTTTTGGTCTTAATTCGATCAATGTGACATCGTTTTGACTTTCTTGTTCTTCTTGGGGATAATATAACTTAAATCTCTTAATAAGAACTAATGATGAATATACCGATTATAAAATACCAATCTTACAATATTTATTTTATAACGATAAATGCATTTTCGTAAAACATAAAGATTACGAAAGGTGGTTTTATCGTGGCGTTATAGTGAGATTGTCTTTTGGATATATTACGATATTGGGTATATTACGACATTGGGTATATTGCGGTAATACGATCTTTCAATCGCGATTAACGTGAAATACACATTTTAAAAATAGAAAACTGGTATCGATAAGGATCGCATCACGATGCACACGGGATCGCGAGGCGTGAAAAATCTCGGCGTGATCGACCGGGTGAACGGAGTGAACAGCCGGGTCGTTTGGAATGACGAGCGATGCGATAAAATTGAAGGCACCGAGGGCAGCATGTTTCCACCACATTTGATACAGGACACAAGTAAACCCCTCTATGTGTATGCCAAGGATATTTGCAGGAAGATACCATTCCATTTTACCGAACAAGTGACCACCTACGACATACCTTCTTTAAGGTAAATAAAAAGTTAAATTTTACACTTTTATGCATCACGATTTAATTGCAAATTTTGATTGCTAAGTTATATATTCCTGAATATTTCCAATCAATCTCAGGATATTCTTTATATAAATATTTAAAAAATTTGTTCTAATTAATTTCTCTATTAAATAATATTAAATATTATTATTTAATAATAATATTATTAAATAATAATGTAATCTTCTCACATTTCGAAGCGTTTTTTTTTCTTATAAATAAATTTGTCTGAAATAATAATAATTGCATAGAAATTTCGGTCATGAGAATTTCTTTACAATTATTATTATTATTTATTTATACTTTTGAGACTTCCACAGGTACTTTCTATATAGAAGAATTCTATCTATTTCGCGGATTGTCTCCGTGTCTATATCCATTCTTAAAATACTAACGTTTCGTGAAAGTTGCAGTTCATTTTATCGGGACGAGAAGCAGCCTGATACTGCTCCTCAATAAATATAATAATAATTATTATTATTATGATTATCATTTTATTAAAGAGATTTGTTTATAAAACGAGTAATTCGAAAATGAGAAAATACATTACTATTATAGTTTTCTATTGGAAAATATAGTGAATTCATTAAAGACATGTCTCTCGAAATGTGTAATTTTCTTTCTCGTCTCAGGTATAAATTCACCCCAGATGCGTTTAATTTTTCAAATAAGCAAAATGAATGTTTCTGCCCGAAAGTACATGACAAAAGAGTCTGTCCGCCTTCAGGACTCTTTAACATGTCCGTTTGCGATCATGACACGCCCATGCTCGTGTCATTTCCGCATTTTTATGGTGCCGACAAGTCCTTGCTGGAACAAATAGATGGTTTAAATCCTCGGCAGGAAGATCATGAGAGCTACCTAGACATACATCCGGTAAGTCGATACTCAATTTTAACTATTACATTATCACAATTAAATATTTATTTAACTTACAGAAATTTAATTTAATACTGATTTATTTAATAAAAGATTACTATAATTTTGAGTATTAAAAGCACTAAATAATATAGTAGTTTTAATACGCAAAACGAACAAGTAATTACAATTAATTACTGATCCTTCGAGTACTAAATTTCTGTAAGGGTAGATAATCACGTCACGTCAATCGTTGTAATTTGAACCTTATAATTGATTTTCATTTCACGAGTTAATTTTGGGAGCTTTCTAGTAGTAGTAGAATAGAAGATCGACATAGAAATCCGTCTTTGTTCGATATTTAGTGAGAGACAAAGATAGAATGACTCTATAATAATTTGTGTCAAAGAATTGAGAAGCAATATCATACATCTTCACACATTCTTTATTACTACTTTTACAATCGAAAGCGAATAAAGATTAAACTAAAATTTCTATTTTTAGCGCATAGCAGTTCCCATGGCCGGCCGATCGAGGATACAAATGAATCTGGAGGTGCGAAGGGCAATCGGCGTGCCGTTTCTCGGGAACCTGAAAGACGGCATGATCCTTCCACTTATCTGGTTCGAAATCGGAATAGACGAACTTCCGGAACAGTTGTTGGAAATCGTCCAGAGCGCGCATTTCACAGTGGCCAACGTCGAATTGGCTTTGCAATGGGGTACTCTGATAACGATGATACTCTCCTTGAGTGCTTTGATAGCCTGTCTCTGGAAATATCGCTCGAAACAGGATATGGTTCTCCGAAGAAATTCATTCGTTTAAAACAATCTTCTTGAGATGCTCTGAACGAAATGGAAACCGCTTGAAAAATATGAACGAACGAGCGAAGACCATCGATCTATCAAAAAAAAGAAAACAAGAATTCCAAGGTAATACGGATGTCCAAAAAATATTAGAACTACATTTAGTCTAATTTTTTAGACGTTTTGAATTTTTTAAACGTTTCTGAGGTTTTCGTACTCGATTAGATGTTCGGTTAGAGACAAAAAATGCCGATAGTTTCTCGTAAAAGCACGGAGAAATGAATTTGTCAAGTAAAACTCGGTAACGTAAATAATGATTGTTGTGCAATTAGAATAATGTACGTTACTGGCAAACTATATTAATCATTTCTATATTGAGAGAGTCTGTCATTATGAAGCATAATTTCAATGCGATAATGATAATTAATAGAGTGTTCAAAAATAAAAACGGTAAAATGCTCATCCACACATATTTTGTTAACAACGTTTGTCGGTTTGACAAAACGTTTAACAAGCGAGTTTATTATGGATTTTAGGAATGATATTAATTCTATTTTTGTTTATCGCGAATAATAACGTTTTCAAAAATATGAATAAATATATTAATATTCGTTCGTAAAGTTAAAGGATATTTTTTAAAGGGCTTAAAAACAATCAACAAGCTTCGTAAAACTCCCTTTTATTCGTACGCGATCCACCGTGGAATCATTTAAGATTGCGAATAATCAATCCGGCGAGCGCCAAATCTAAGAGAATGCCGATGGACCAGTAATTCCTATGATAAGTTGACGTACCGTTGTTGCACCGTGAGAAAGTGACAGGGAGACACGCCCGCAACACGGCCAAAGCTGTGATTCAGACTTTAGTGCATCGGAAATAATGTGTAATTATGCCGACGGCGGTTGCGATCCGTTGACGGTTGTGGCATTTGCATCTCGTCGTATTATTACTTGGTGGTGTCGCCGACCGCAACGGTGAGTTACACCGCGCCGTAATGATCGACCTGTACTTAATTAAGCGGTGACGCACACGCGACGGCAGTACGTATTACATACGACCGTTCAATTAATGCTTCGTTATCTCAACGACGAGATTCGATACAGGTTTCTTTAATGTAAAATGTAAGTTTTTTGCAGAATAAGATATGTATATAAATTCACATAAAATTATTTAAACATTAAGATTCACTTTGATCAAATTTCTCTTATTTAATTAGTTATTAGATTTATTTTCAGCGGTCCAAATTCGTATCATAATTATAAGTTATAATTTATAACTTTTATCTCATTGAGGGCTCGCGAGACTCGCGGTATTTATCGATGTGCACCGCGTATCTATCTATCTTTCTCTAATTGTAATAAAGTCAAATGCAGAGAGAAAAGATTTTCTGTATGTCTCATATTGTATATATGTATGTATGTCTGATATTGTATAGAGGCACGAGCGCCGTTTATTTTTCATTTTATTACACTGATGGAAAAAGAATTTATTTTAATACGGCAGATATTTATTTTTGGCATTTACAGCTATCCCTATGACGATCTCCTACTTACCTTCGTAAGTGTTCTTGCTCCTTTTATCTCACGCTGCATTTCGAGAATTATTCTTTCGCGGGTATAATGGCTAATCATATTTATGTAAATCGTTCGGTACGCTTGATTTATCGCTGAGTCTACATGTGAGTTCACATTTTGATAACCCTAGCAACACGAGATGTGCTAAACACTTATTTCATCGGATAAACTCATTTTTGTATCAATTCAAAATGCATCGTCTGCACGCAGACATATCGTCCATCGTAGTACAGACGTAATGTAGACGATAAAAGCATAATGTGTCGCAACGCGGTATCACGCGATTGGGAGTGGAATAGAACATCAAATCAATCTCTGTGTGTCGTATCATAAAATTAATTCTATCATATATTTTCCTCATTCCTCCTGCATTTATCTTTCGGATAAGTCCCTAATCCTCTCTGTTCCTCAGACGCAAGAAGAACGAAAGGGCGAAAAAAATTCGAAAACACTTGGAAATTTCCAGGACAAAAGAGAAGAGACATATAAGAATAAGGCGTGAGCAATAAGTCAGAATTGAAGAGTTCCCATTCCTTTTTCTCTCTTTCTTTCATATCTGGAATTTAAATCAAAATATCAGATTGGTGCAAAAGATTCATATTTATAAAAATATGTGGAAAGCATAATTTCCAGAAAATTAAAACGAAATTATCATTATTAAATTCCAAAAAGAAATTTTCACTTCTTAAGGAATTTCAGCTACGTTCTTATTTAATATGAAAAGGAAACGATAAATCTTTTGCAGCAAGCTAATAGACTGTAACTCTATCTTTTTTATAGAGTTTATATACGCATGTAATTTTCGTGAGTTAGTAAAGTTGAGAAAGAGTATAGTTATCCAACTATATAACGATTACGCTGACACCAATAACCAGATTTCTCACGCTCGCGCGCAATTTGTTTGGTATCTTTTGATTTTTATCATACAAAAGTAATTTATTTATTAGGTCTAATTATGATCTACGTTTAATTAATTATTTATAATAATAATAATAATACATGTACAAACGAATAACGAGAAATAGTACAATCTTGGTAATTACAATCGATAGACGACAACGACGGCCGGGTTCTATGTACAGAAAAAGAGATTTCTGTCGTTCCGTTGTTGCTGCGTCTTAATTGCACAAACTACTCGTCGCAAACACGCTCGTGCAATCCAAATTGAAGTCGTGAACGAAGCTTGTCCTCGGAACAACGGCATGGACGGAATATCAATTTCATCTTTCATCCTTTACGTCAGTGTTCGCAGCCATAATTGCTTCGCACGATTAAACGACGATCCTTGAAGATCAATTCGATCGTGCGAAGCAAAGAGCAGCTCGTTATTAATATTAATAATCCTAATAAAAAAAACGGTGTTGCGTCATTATAAATTTTAATCGCCGAGTTTTTCGTAGCAATGACTCGACTTCAATTTCTTATTTCCGTGCAGTATCGTAAAAAAATATAGAACATTTGTCAGTTTAGTTGCCCATTCCATAATAATAATGTCAAGGTAAAATAAAATAAATCTAAATACCATATATATAAACACGAAATTCTATTTTGCGATCAATTTATCAGCTAAGAAGTCAACAGTGGACATTAAAAATCCGCGACGAAGCGCGGATCATCCGCGATGTTTTCATCGAGAAGACCTAGATTTTAAATTCGCTCACAGATATTTCTGAGTTTTCTCAACTCAAATTTTTAACTCGTTCCTTCACAAAGGAAAGATCCGTCGATTCGTCACAATAACATCTCGAGCAATAAGAGAAATAACGTCTACTCCACAGATCTCGAATTCGTCGCCGACTGTTGCTCGCGATTAATTTGTACTCGCGTGACTCAACACCGTCTGACAAAACACCATCCCGAGAAGAAACACACGTAATATAAATAAATTTAATATATCGACTGTCCGCGTGCGACCCGATAAAATTCGTGTCTCACTGGGCAGTCTCTCCTTCTTCTCTCTCCCTTCCTCCCAAACAGAACAAGTCAATGTCATTTTGACATCAAAGCGATGTTAAAATGATTCCAAAATGGATCATTAAAAGTCATTTTTCTATCATTTACGATTTGCTTTAACGTCAAAATGATATTATCATGACTTGTCCCAAACAACACGTTCAAAAAGGAGACATAAGATGTCTTAAAGACATCTTAGGTGCGTTCCGTTTTGCACTTGCAGCGCTTGTAAGCATCATTTGTTTAATATTTGCTAGACAACAAAGATGAACTGATGCTTACAGTGTGTGAACATGAAAACGAAACCCCTTGTATCTCGATTTTGGACTTTTTGTTATCTAGGGTTGTTCCGCTTTTTCTTTCTCTCTTGCGAAATTCAATGTGGAAATCCTAATCGAGATATAAAGCACATGCCCGTCGCCTATAAGATAAGTAAGATTATCGTACAAGTCCTCACGAGAGGGTACACTCGCACGCTACCCGGCGCACGACTCGTCTCGCGGGGTGGAACTCCGAGCACTCGCGCACTCGTTTCGATTCCCTCACTTGCAACCGGTTGGACTCTACTTGCTGAAAGCGGGATTCAGCTGGCCGGTCTTGGTGCTCGCGTTGTGGTTCGCCGGCAGTGGGTTGCTCAAGTGCAGCTTTTCCTGGCGTTTAGCGGCGCGCGCCAGGCACATGAGCGCGCCGAGCAGGACGATCGCACCGATCGCAGCAAGGGCGCCGGACACCGCAGCATGGGCCACCGGTGGCAGCTCCACCGCCAACTTCAGCAGGGAACGCATCTCCGGGGGTAGTTCGTCGACGCACTGCGCAATAGGAAAAAAAAACATGTTATTAATATCAGGATTGCGTTTGGCTCCGTTCAGCAGAAAAAGCTGCTTTGCAACTATTGTAAAATTCTTTTACATGATTGGTTTATACATTTAAATCTAGGGAACTAAGGGTAAGATTAATCATATTAGAGAATTTTACAATAATTTCAAAGCTGCTTTTTTGCTAAACGTATAAGCCTTTGTAAAAAAGAGAGAAATTCCTCTGCTCGATTTATCTATCCTTAAATCAAAAAAATTAAGAAAGAAAAACTAAGTAAGAGGAGCGCCATTTAAAGTCAAAGATGTTGGAATAATACATATATGTATTTAAGTAGTGTACAATTGTAATGTTAATTCAAGTAAGGCTTAAAATTCTCTCTCTCTCGGCTTTAGAAAGAGAGAGAGAGAGAGAGAATTTTAAGGCTCGCTTAAAGTCAAAGTAACATTGGCCTTTATTCCAACATCTGACTTTAACCGTAAATAGCACTTCTCTTACTTATGCCCGTTTCTACTAATATAGTTTAATCTTGGTTCGACTAATTCTTCATTTCTTTCTAGTTTCGAAAAATTAGAACTTCTAAGCATTTAATTCTAAGCAGTTAATTCTATCAATGTAAGATTAACTTTAATCTCAATTCAATTTACTGTTTACCTTCTTTTAATTTTAAGAATTAGGAAAAGATAAACAATTATAAGTTAAATCAAGATTAAAGTTAATCTTATGTGGGCCTTAGTAACTTAATCATATATTTGACGGTCTTGTGTATGTGTCTAACTTATTATTGTTAAAAAATTAACTAATTATTATTGTTAAAAAAAATTAATCTAAATAGATTGCTAAATTATATTGAAAAATTTCTCTTGTCACTATTAATTATATATTTCGGAAAAATTTTTTTTTTTAAATCGTGTTTTTCTCTGCCTTGCAACACATTTAAGCATTTAAATGTTTATAATGTCAATTTTATAATTATATAATAATTCTGCATAACGTGTTTTATCTCTCTCAATTTTAAAGGCTTTTTTTATCGTTTTGTAATATTTGAAAATATATAATTACTAATATTGTCTTGTCCATTAAAATAAAAATTAATTACTCTAGATCATTCTACTTATATATGTACATAATATATTAATGTACAAAATTAATATGGATGTATTCGTATACTAATTCCATGGATATTTCTCTCTCACTTAGAAAATATTTAAATAAGTTAAATTAAAAATACATTAAGATATAAAATTAAAAGAGGAATATTGGCTGCAATATACATTATGTATGAAGAATTTAAAAATTAAAGAACATCCAGTTTGGTCGGATATATTTTATTTGAAGTATGCTGTCGTCGGAGATGTAACCTCGAAACAAGAAGATCAATCTTGGTTTTCATGTTTGCTTTAGCGAGAACGTTTCTCAAGATGACCAAATCAAAGTTCCTCGCAGTCTCGAGTATGTGCCGTCTTGAGTACAAAGAAAATTCTCAGAGTCGGAGAATTTGTTCCCTCTCTTCTTTTTTCTTTTTCCCTCGTCGCGGCGCGGCGCGGCGCGGGGACAACGTCAAACTCTTTATTAGCAACGTCGAGACGAGTTCCATTAATATGAATCATGGGCGAAAAGCGTTCGACAATACGTTCTCCTCTACGTGCATGGTATTCAAACGCACGTCGTTGCCGAACGGCGAAACGGCGAACGGCAGGCACGTTCCCGTCATTGTCGAGGCAGAGATGAAAATTTCACCTGCATGACCGACTCGAGGATGATGGCGACAATTTGTAAGCGACGTGGTGTCCCGTTGTCAGTAATGTAGACTAAAGAGGGAATATCAGACGC